AATTAAGAGGCTGGGCTATAGGAAGGGAATTGTTTATTCTTGCTACCTTGAATACAGGTGACACAATGTGGCTTGATTTGGCCAATGAAATGAAACCCAAAACGGTAAGTGCCAGCTAAAGTCAGTGTTTACTTGGAGACTCTAATTTCCTCTTTGTAATGTTTCTGTTGAGAGCCATTCTACCATCTGATGGCAGAATGATCTTAGTATGACACAGGCATAGCAGTCGGAGATAGACCTATAATATGAGCGAAATTAATTTACATTGTTGTCAGCATATGAGATTTAGGGATTACCTGTCACCACATCAGAGCTTAGCTTTTGGTGACATACAGAGATAGTTCAGGACACTTGGACACAGGCATTGCTTGTAGGAAATGTTTATTAAGAGAAGTGTTGAGGAGGTGTGGTAGCACAGGCCTTTAATCCTAGATGTGGGAGCAGAGGCAGGCTGATTTCATATCGAGGCTTGGGGACATGGCTGACTCAGCTGGTAAAGCACTTGCCTTCCAGTTTAAGGACCCGAGGTTAATCCCCAGATCCTTACATAAAACTCCATGATATGATGTGGTAACCTATGCTTGTAATCTGAGTGGTGGGGGGCAGACACAAGCAGATCCCTGGGGCTCATTGGTCAGCCATTCTAGCTTAATTGGTGAGCTCAAGGCCAACTAGAGGCCCTATTTCTTTTTTTTTCCTTTTTTAAAATTTAAATTAGAAGCATGCATGCTTCAAATGTCAGTCCCAGCTCCTCCTCCTTCTCCCTTCCAGCCCCAGCCCAATCCCCACATATTTCCCCAGGGAGGGTGAGGCCCTCCTTTGGGGGATCTCCAGAGTCTGTCATTTCATCCAGGGCAGGACCTAGACCCTTCCCCATGTGTGCAGGCTGAGAGAGCATCCCTCCATGTGGAATGGGCTCCTAAAGTTCCTTTGTATGCCATGGTGAACACTAATCTACTACCCAAGGCCCCAGAGATTTCTGAGGCCTCCTCACTGACACTACATTCATGGAGTTTGGATCAGTCCCCTGTTGGCTAGAGGCCCTATTTCAAAGGGGAGTTGCTGGCATTTTTTTTTTGAGGATGACACCTAAATTGTTGTCACACACACACACACACACACACACACACACACACACACACACACACACACACATTTTCATGGGCACCTGCATATAGATGCATGCATAAAAAGAAAGAGAAATGCTGAATTTTATATGCTAGTTTACAGTTTATAGTTATAGTTATAGGTTACGGGTGAGTGTAAGCATCAAGGCTGTGTATACCCTTTTATTTATGTATATATATTTTTTTGAGTCAGGGTCTCACTGTGTAGCTGTGGCTGTTTTGGAACTCACAGAGATCCACCTGCCTCTGCCTCCAGACAGCTGGGGTTAAACACATGTATCACCACACCTGGACTATCTGTTTATTCCTTTTACTATTTGATTTATGCTTTTAGATAAATTAAGTTACACACTGCCCCAATCATCTTATGATACCACCCTTTGATTGGATTTGGACTGTAAGAACAGAACATGAAAATGTAATTTAGCAAACACAAGATTGTGTGTGTGTGTGTGTGTGTGTGTGTGCGCACTGAACTTGGAGCTTGAGCAGATGCGTTTGTACTTTTTGGATATTTTCCTCCTGGGTTATTCCACTGAGATGCCTTAAGTTAGAAATTGTCCTCTAATCCCAAAGGATAGATTTATTGCTCTGCCCCACCTCAATATTTAAATCACTTCTGAGGGAATGTATGTTATTGTTTCTGACCTGTGTGAATAAACAAAGGTGTGCTGAGTGGGTGGAGTACTGGACGGGGAGAGGCAGGGTGTTAAGTGGTGGCATAAGCCAGGGGTTTATAGTGACCTGACTGAGGTTCATGGTGTACATGGATGGGCTCTGTTTCCAGCGATTCAAAATAGCCTTCGGTATTCTTTTGTGGCCAAAGCACGAATCTAAAACCATAGGAGCTGCAATCCAAGTGTTTTTTTTTCCACAACCTCTTAAGTGACAGTGCTGATGAGGGCAAATAGGGCTGGGTGTACATCCTCACAGGGACCCCAAATGCTGTAACCCACCTCTTCCCCTCTTCTCATGCTCGTCCTCTTCCTTCTTCCCCTTTTCTTTTTATCCGTGTGTGTGTGTGTGTGTGTGTGTGTGTGTGTGTGCGCGCGTGCATGCAGTGGCTAGAGGAGGACATTGAATATTTACCTCTTGCACTCCCTGCCTTATTCCGTTGAGTTGGGGTCTCTCACTGAATCCGGAGCTCCCCATTTTTGTCTAGGTAGCAGGAGGCCAGCATGTCCTGGAGATATCTTGTCTCCCTCCCTGTGACCCCACACCCTGAGGTTTCAGGTATGTGTATCACAGCCAGCTTTATATATGAGTGCTGGATCCAAACTTGGGTCTTCATGCGTGTGTATCAAGTGCTTTTATTCAGTGAGCCATCTCCCAACCCTGGCTATAGCTGTTGAGATAGGGTGTCATGGAGCCCAAGCTGGTCTCAAACCCATTAATGTAGCTGAGTCTGGCCTTGAACTCCTGACCCTCCTGCCTCCATCTCCAGAGTATTCAAATCACAAGTGATTCCATCCATGGCTTTGTGGACTCTTTGCCAAACTCTTCTTTTGTTCAGACTAAAAACATCAGGGAGGACAATCCATTAACTAGTGCCCTTGTTTTTTCCCCACAGTCTTAAGGCTTGGAAGAGGTAAGGGATGTGGTCATACATTTCCCAATTATAGGCATATTCAGTCATAAACTATATATCTTTTAGTGTGCACTATTATATAACTACTCCTCACCCAGCACTGAGAACAGAGCTGACATCTATTTCACTTGACAAGGGATTTTTTTTAAACCAATAGAAGTCTTTCAATGTAACAAGCAAAACTTCATCTTTCCTTCTAGGAGTTACATTAAAATTCAAGACGCTTTTTTTTAAAGTGAAGAGCTTACAATAAATATATCATACGTGAAAGATACAGGTTGGACTTCAATAATAATTTAGATGGTAAATTGATAAAGTAATAAAATTGATATAAGTCCACAAGGGGAGGCCAATGTAAGGCATATGTAGGAAATTAGAAAACTTATGCATCATGAATTTTGTCCCAAAATTAATGATAGCTATAACAAACATTGATTAAACATTAAATTACCCACACTTTCACTTATCTCCTTGGGAGTGATTTAAGTGCTGTGGGTTTCTGAAAGAGGCAATCCAATGGAGTTTCAACTGATGTTTTCTTTCTCCAGCACTGTAAAATTCTACATAGAAGACAGGTGCTATTGACCTTTACCACAGATCTTAAAATAGCAGGTGTTTCAAAATGAGTGTTATTGTTGATTACAGGACTTCATCCAAAATTGTTTTCTAAAATGAGGCTGATTATTCCATTTATAATTATGCAAAAAATATGAAATACCTGGGAATAATCTGAGCAGAAATGTTCCTGTCCAATATGAAAAGCCCGTGAATCTTTATCAAGGAAAACGAGAAAATAGTCCATGTTTTATAGCAAATGTCTTCAAGTCATGAGTTTTATTAATTCTTTTCAAAATAAGTTAACAGAACCACATTGCTTGCCTGAGTTATTTTGTGAACTTAATAAAATTGTTGTGGTATAAAAATGGACACTGCTCCCCCCTCCCCCCCCTCGTTGACCAAGAACCACAATGGTAGAGCCTTGTTTGTTGTACATTGCACTGCCCATCAACAGTCGTTAGTATAGACATTACATGAAAAACCCAGAAATCACATGTGGGTAAGCATGTAGGGGAGTTGACCACTGTCAGGTGGTGCAGCTCTCTTGAAAATAACGTGGAACTTCTCAAAAATGGGATTTCCCCACTACTTATATTCTTTATTCTAAGCTTACAATATGAAACAAATATTCTCACTTTCATCATGCTAGATACTTTCTTCCTCCCACTTGATGCTTAAAAAAATGAAGCACAGATTATTCTTCCATTTAGCACCTCTACTGCTGGGCACATAAACTGATTGCACAGAGCGAATGAATAAACAACATATGATATGTGCAAGCAATGGAATAGTTTTTAGCCTTAGAGCCAGATGCAGTGAGGCACACCTATGATCTCAGATAGCATAGGAGCTGTAACAGGAGAACTGCAAGTTTTAGGGTCTGCCAGGCCTAGTGAGGGTGAAGCCAGTCTGGGCAGCTTGTGGATACTGCTTAAAAATAGAACTTAAAAAAGAAATGGCTGGGGATACAGGTCAGTGACAGGGTGCTAGTTTAGTATGCAGGAGGTCCTAGGTCCAATCCTGCCAGGGGCACAAAACAAAGGCTTAAATAAGACACCAGGAAACAAAACAACAGAGCAATAAAACACAGCCCTGATGAACCCTCACAGATGTGGGATTCCTCTCACAGGAAGTTACAGAGGGAAAGGGCGGGGTTTGGCAGCTGGGGGTGTGGGGGGGGATGAGAGTTATTGTTCACAGTTGCTGTTAGGAAGTTGGAGAAGTGCTGGAGATGGACACTTGGGATACTGGGACAATGGCATAAATACTCGAAGCTACTGAACCGTATACCATAGTTAGTGGTAATAGTTCTCATTCTGTGTATATTTTACCGAAATAAACAACTATATATTGTATTGTAGAGTTGTGTTAGCTATTTGACTTCTTGCTGTGACCAAATGCCCGAGAAGAAGTTAGTTAAGGGAGGTGGGGTTTATTTTTGCCCACGGCTTGAGGGTACACAGTTCACCAGGGGGTGGTCTTGACAGCTGGTGGCTTGATGTGGCAGGGGTGTGCAGCTGGAACTTCATTCAGGGTAGGTTTTCTCTATTCAGTTGAACCTCTCTAGAAATACCCTTACAGACATACCCAAAATTTAGTTTCCTGGTGATTTAGTTTCCTAAATAAAAGTTAATAACCAAGATTGGAGTTCTAGACTGTAATTCAGCAGAATGATTGGTCACGACTGATACTTAGTTCAATACAGACAGTCAAGGAGATGCTAAATGTTAATGAATTTTATATCTGATAAAGCTGTCATAAGGAAGATTGGCAAAGAAATGTTTAATGAATACTGGGATGACTCATTGAACTGTTTCTGGTAAAAAAATATACTCAGGCCTTTCCTGTAGTCCAAAATACCAGGTGGACCAAGAGGCAGACATCTCTGTGAAAAGAAATGAGGATTTGCCTCATCCCAGGATGGAGAGTTACAGAGAAGTACTAGATGAGTTATGTGCATAAAATATTTCTGAGTATCAAGATCATCATGAAGAGGCAAGAGATAAACTGGAAAATAAATTCATAGACAAAAGACTTATTAACATCATTCTATAAAAAGTTCATATAAAAATAGACAATTTACAGAAGGGCAAAGATGAGTTAATACTAATGTTCAACTGCCATGAAAATATAAAATCTGCAATTTTTGGGTCTCTGAACAAATTAAAGAGTAAAGTAAAATCTTGGTGGCATCAAGGGTTCAGAGGTCAGCACCCTCATTCATAGCTGGTGGCAAAATGAATTTGAACAGGTTTCTGGAATGCTTCCTAGCAGACTGCGAGGTAAGGCAGAGACTTAGCTTAAACCAGTTTAAACAAAGAAGGCTTTGGGGGGGGGGGGAGAGGATTATGTAACTGAGAAGTTCAAGGATGGGAGTGGCTTTATACAGAGCTGGATCCAGTAGGTGAGTGGTTCTCCGTGTGTCTTGTATCTCGGGCCTGATTGCCTTCACTCTTAGGCTCTTTACAAGGTGAAGCGAGCTGTGGGCAGATCCCAGTTTACATGATCCTTCCCTCCTGTTGTCCCAGAGAATGAGAGAACAAGCATTTTAAAAAAGTGTTTTCCTGAGATATAATTTGCATATCATCCAATTCACCCACTTAAAGCATACAATTAAGTGGTTTTAATGTATTCACAGCCTTGTGCAACCATCACAGCAATCAACTTTAGAACATTTTCATCACCCCAGAGGGAACCTCATACCAATTAGCAGGACTCCTTGTTTCCCCCAACACCTCAGTGCTAGGCAAACACTAATCTACTTTCTGATTCTATAGATTTGTCTGCCAGCAAGCCTCCCTAACCAGAGCCCCAGGAGTCTCTTGCTGATGGGATTTGGGGTTAAATATTCACTCCTGACCCAAACAAAGACTGGGTCAAGGGGATTGGTCCTCTCATTGTCTAGGCTGGGTCACCATCCTAGCCTTAGGATAAGAAGACTGGATCAGAACCCTTTGAGTCAAGTGCTTTCAGTAGGATGATTATGGAACAGGCAAGGGCCCCCAAGGGGAATATGGGAAAGCCCTTGGGAGTCTGCACCCTGATCTTTAAGAGTTTTTCCTAAGGAAGGACCAGAAACAGAATTGCCTTCATGCCCCGCCTGTGGTGATCACGTGGGAGGAGGAGGGAGTAGGAGGCAGCTAGAGAGCCCGGCTTCATCGGAAGCACATATAGTGCTAGAGACAGCGTTTCCCGGGGCTCCTGTGCACCCACAAAGCCGCAGGCAGCCACAGAGGCCGGGTTGTTTCACTAATATAGCAGAACTTTCACCCCAAGGAAGCAGGCTCTGTTAGAACTCATGTAGGGCTCTGGGCTACCTTCAAATCTTGTCTTAGCTAGGAGGGCACAGTTAGAGCCCAGTCCGCATACAGCAATAGGCAAGAGTGTAAGGATTCAGGCACTATGCTGGCCTGCCCCTGTCACCTGGCAGAAGGCACTCAGGCAATACCCTGGTCAGCCCAGGGTTCCATGGTTGCTAAGTCTGCACGCAGGTGCAAAGGACCCCTTAAAAAACAGACCCCGCCCACTTACGCTCTCTTTCCACTCTCCATTCTCTTCTCTTTCTGCTCTTTCTTCCCAACTCTCTTCTCCGTGGTTCCCCTGGGGCAGACAGGACTTTTCCGTCTCCCTCTTCTCTTCTGTCCGCTCTCTGTGTCTCTTTACCTCTTTTCTCTTTCCTCCCCCTGCCCTCCCTTTCTAATAAAACTTCTCACTAAACTCTGTCTGTCTGGCCTCGGTCACCCTCACCTGCCATGGAATCCATCATGGAATCCATGCAAGGTTCCTCGAGCTTTATCATAACAAAGAGGACCAGACCAGATTAATAGCGCAGCTGTCAGGTGAGTAGGGTTGCTTTGGCTTTGTCTGCTCAGTGTATCTCTTGCCTTTTAAACGTGGCAGGCCTGGAGACAGGGGGACATTTGAGTTCTCTGCATTCATAAAGGACCACGAATGTGTGGCAGATCTGCTGGGAGACATGCCACACAGCGGTGCAGTCTAGTTTCATGTCAACTTGACACAAACTAGAGTTATCTGAAAGGAGGGAACCTCAATTGAGGAAAAAAAAAATGCCTCCATAAGATCCAGCTGAAAGGCATTTTCTTAATTTGTGATTGATGGGGGAGGGCCCAGCCCATTGTGGGTGGTGCTATTCCTGGGCTGGTGGTCCTGGGTTCTATAAGAAAGCAGACTGAGCAAGCCAGTAGTAAGAGGCACGCCTTTACCGTCTCTGAATCAGCTCCTGCCTCTGGGTTCCTGCTCTGTTTCAGTTCCTGTTGTGACTTCTTCAGTGATGAACTACAATGTGGAAGTGTAAGCCAAATAAGCCCCTCTCTTCCTAAGTTGTTGTGGTCATAGTGTTTCAACACAGCAAAAGGAACCCTAACTAAGTCAACAGCCTACAGACTGTACTTTGTACTGGTGTCGTGTCGTGTGTCCCCCCCCCCCCGCCTTCCCCCGCGCCCCCCCCCCTCCGCCTATGTGCTTGCATTTAGCTTTTTCTCACCTTGGGGCTCTGACAGGTCAGGGCCTTTGATGGGTGCTTCTTCCTTGTCACCAGTCCCCTCTAGCCCCAGTTTCATGGTGGGGGCAGTCTTAAATAATAGATTATCTCTCTCAAAGTGACAGCCAGCCACAGCCCTCAGCTGGGCAGTGACAAAATGAACCTTCTCTGTACTGTAGACCCATCACCCTGGAGGGTCACCATTTCACTGAAACCTCCACCAGGACTAGAGGCTTGAGGACTGTGGGCCTGTCCCGTGGGTGTGACAGTCTTTTCATCAAGACTCCAGCTTCCTTTCTTTGGATGAGGAGTCTGGTTGCCCTCCGCCCCCTGGTGACTTGCATGCTCTGCTGCTCTTAGCTGCACTGCCTTTCTGTCCCTCTGTACTTCCTGACTGTTCTGTTTGCTCCTTTGTGACTTCTGATTTTCTTCCAATCATTCTCCCTTCGAAACGGAATTATTCTCCATTATCTGACTCTCATTCACAGGGCCACATGGAAGCATTTTCTAATCCGCCATCCATCCTACCTCAGCGTTCCCCAGATTCCCTTTTATTTACTTTGCGTTAGGAAGCTCAAACACCTGCTTGGTATCTCTGTCCCTTCTTGGGGGCAGTTGGTAAGGAGGTATGCAGATCTGCAGGGATAGCCGTGGCAGTGATACTCAGGTTGCTGCTGTCAGGGAGAGATTAGTTTTTGTCTAAAGCCAGTCAGGACATGACAGAGCTTACCTGTTGAATGTGTTTACAGGTTAAGGATTCCTTGAGGGGGAAAGACTTTTTTCATGAAGGCAGGAGGAACCTCAAGACCTGTCTTAGCTTTAAAAAGGATGGTGATTTGTGCTTATAGTCACATGCCCTTCTCAGAGGAGCCTTCTCAGATACTCCATTTAGATGGATGTCTCCCCAGCCCATTATCCTTTCTCTTCCTTCGCCTTTAACATTTACCTCAGTGGTGCTTGTTACCTCTGACATGATTTTACCTGGTGGGTAGTTTATTGAGTGCCTTTTCCCTCAAGTGCCACGATGTTTGAAGACCTTCACAGAATAAGCGTTCATGAAAAAACGAAAAATTTCCTGAGTTATTCTCAGCTTCATGGATGTCATGGATGTGTCCTTGGATGTGTTCTCAGGAGAACTGAAGGGTTACCTTCACAAAAATTAGATTAAACACTGGCATCCATGATGCACCTTAATAGACCTGGCTAATTTAAAAGTGGCTTGTAAGCCTGTTATGAGTGCAATATGCCAGAAACATAGACAGACACATTTGTGTCTTTCTACAATGTATTGACTAACAATACATTCACAAGGTGCAGTGGTTTCAATGACAACAATTTGTCACATAATCCAGCCTACCTCGGTAATCTGACTGAGGCAGGTTCTTTTATTCCAGTATTAATCACTAATGTGGACTCTTACCGCACACATAGCTATATGTGTAAGTACAGTTTATAAAATCACTCTAAGAAGCTGCAGCAGGCCTCCGAGAGTCTTGCAATGTGGAGTCCAGCGCTGGAAGGAAGTTGCAGCTGGAGCAGGGAGTGAACTGCAGGGTTCAGCTGTGAGGGAAAAGGCTGAATCAGGTTCAGGAACCAGCAGGTTCCGAGACAGGTCCACATGGTGAACTTGTGGGTGGCTAAGCAGTCAAGGAGGTCACACCAACAGTGGGGGACCATGCTGAGCTGAAGCTTAAGGGACAGTCAGGGAGTCCTCTGTTCCTTAGTCCTTGACCCATTCACTAACTACGAGATGATGAGTGGTGGAGGACCATGCCATTGTAGTGTGAGGTGTCCATTACTTTATGGGGTCCAGATGAGAGAGTTATTCCCTTTCCTCAGTTCTTGGGCCTGGGTTCCCTGATATGATTTTTTTTGTGTATTTTTTTTATTTTAATTTTAAATAGCTTGTTTTACATGTCAATCCCAGTTCCCTCTCCCTCCCCTCCTCCCGCACTCCCCTTCCACCCTCCCTCCCACCCTATTGCCAAATCCTTCCACATAGGGGATGTCTAGAGTCTATCATTTTACTCTTGGTAGGGTCAAGGTACTCCCCTAAGAGTCCAGGCTGAGAGAGCATCTCTCTTTGTGCTATAGGCACATGAAGACAGATTGTATACCAGGGATAGACACTGATCCACAGCTCAGGGCCCCATAGGTTGTCCAGGCCTTCTCACTGACACTCACATTTGGGGGGTCCAGATCAGTCCCATTCTGGCCCCCTGATATGATTTTTAACACACCCATGGACACTTATAGTTTCAAATCATCCCAATAAATGTGTAGGGTAGCTCTCTTTCTACTCCCAGAAATGTCATTTGTCAGTCTGTGCTAGATGGGTGCTATGTGACAGATGGTGGTTTGTGGGTCCATTTAGGGACTTCAGTAATCCAACCAACCAACCAACCACCCCCTCCCATTTTATATACTATAGAGTACCTTAGAATAAGGTATATCCCAATCTCAGCAAGCCCAGAAGCTTTCTCAGCTCTTTGGAAGCTGCAGATCAGGTCAGTGTATGGGCCCCCAAGGGTAGATTCCACAGAGGAACATCTGGGGCAGCTGATCTGGGTGTGTCTTAGAATCCTTGGACCTAGAAGTTCTTAAGTCCTGCTTGGTGATTTATAGCCAAGCTTCTCAGTCAACCATTGGATCATAAGTCAGAGAGAATGCCATACTCTCATTGTTCTCTGGGAGATCTAACAGGGCAAATCATGATGTAACTAGCCATAGACTACATGAGGACACGGGGTAGGAGTAGAGAAGGTCATAGACCTTAGTGTTATCTAGGTGGTGACTTGAATCCTACCTAGTTCTTTAATTTGGTAGCTTTGGAATGAGCTTAGAGTATTTGACTTTTAGTCTCAGTTCATCTATCTGTCCAGTGGGGCTAACAGTTTATTATGTTTGAATATGAAATATCCCTCATCTGTGCTGTGTATGGTTGCCAGCTGATGAGATTTTTGGCACGTTACTAGATCTTGAACACTTTAACATAATCGGTGATTTAATGTATTTTCTTTATAACATTTATCTCTGTGTGTGTGGGGGGGCTCAAGATAACATTTATCTGTGTGAGTGTGTGGGGGGCTCAGAAGACAACTTGACCATCTTTTGGAGTTGGTTCTTTCCTTCCACCATATAGGTTCTGGGTCTTGAACTCACATTGTCAGGCTTGGCAGCAAGTGCTATGACCTGCTGAGACATCTCGCTAGCCCTGGGTTAATTTCTTGATGGATTCATAATGTGATAGTATAAGTGGGAGGTAATAAAAGATAAGTCCTATCTGGAGGAAACAGGCCACTGTGAGTGTGTCCTTGACTTCCCTGGCCTCATCCTAAAGCTCACTCTGCTATGGGGTGGACATCCTATAGCTCACTCTGCTATGGGGTGGACAGCCTCCCCCACATGCTTCCTGTTGCCTCACTGCAGGGCCAGCATCAAGTGAGCCAGGGGCTGTGGGCTGGAATCTCTGGAACCGTGATCCCACACAAATCTTCCATTCTCTTGTCTATGGCAGGGATTTAGGTGATAGCAATCAAAAGTAACGCATACAATGCCCATGGAAGACTTGTGGTAATCTCATTGAGCTTGTGGTTTTGCCCTGATCTTATTCTCCTGCTATTCCTGGGGATGGCTAGTAGTTAGTGATCCAGGACAGCCATTGATAGAGAGCTGTGACTGTCTTAGGTGGTGCAGGTGAGAATCTTCTGTTCAGGACAGACAGGTCATCTTTCCCAGGCACCTGGGCCTGCCCACCTGTCCTTACAAGAGCCCCTTTGTCACACTTTTATTATTTCTTTCTCCCAATGTCTGCTTCATGCTGTTGTATTTCATGTCAAAAAGGGGGTGGGCTTTAGTCATCTCTTTAATCCTCAGTGTGAACTGGGGAGCTTGCCATGAGGGGTCACTCATGGCCTATGGACATTAACTGTCTTGCCTCACTGGGTTACTTTCTAGTTATATTTACCTTGGATTCTAGACTGCTTCTACCCTTCCCAGCTTCCCATGATTGGGAATTGAATGATCCATGCCCCAACAACCCTTTACTAGTATCATTAGATACTCAGTTCTTCTTTGATGTACATTACATAAAATACTTCTAAAATGTGAAACCATTTAAAAGTAATAACTCACCCTACTTGTGCATGTGCTGTATAAATTCCTTTATAGAAATTTCACAGTTGCCTATAGAGAAGAACTATTTCTGAACTCTAGAATTCCAATCTAAATACTTCTGGGGTCTTTAGTGTTTTGGGGATTTATCTCTAAACTTGGTTTCAGGGTTTCCATCCTTCTATGACTAGATTGTTGGAGTCTAGTTGTCTGTTATTAGATTGTACAATACAATCCTGTACCACAGTTTACTTGTGTGAAGACTGCTTTAGTGGACAGCTTCCAAACTGATGTACTCAGGGTTCTTAGTTTGTGGATAAAGAAAACACTAACAATGCTCTTTTCTTTTAAGCAAAAATAATTAGTGATTTTCCCAATTGAATTTCCCCTCATTTGATTACACTGTCACAGTAGTTTCTTTTCTGTTGCAGTGATAAAGTCACCTGATAGAAAATCAACTTAAGCAAGAAAGGTTTATTTTTCCTGTGGTCCCAGAAGGATGGAGTCTGTCATGGAGGCAAAGGCGGGGCAATAGGCAGGGAAAGCATGGCAAAGCCTGCCTTCAGCGATCTTCAGACTCTATCTCTTACAGGTTCTACAACTTTCCAGGACAGTGGTGCCCTGTGGGGATCAAGTGGGGATCAAGTGTTCAAATACAGAAGCCCAGAGTGGATATTTCTCATTCAAACTATCACAATTGTCTTGCTGCTAGTGGGGACAAGCTGGTAAGTGAGGTATGCACAATGAAATAGAAAGATTGTCTATGAAGTTAGTTCTTAAATTTTTAGCATGTAATCAGTTTTTTCTTTCTTTTTTGGGGGGTGGGATGCAGTGGAATCTGTTGATGGTATTCAAGAGAGTAGGACTGTCAAGAGAGTAGGATTGTCAAGAGAGTAGGACTGTCAAGAGAGTAGGACTGTCAAGAGAGTAGGACTGTTGGAGCTCTTCCCTATCTTCTGGGGGGTCTGGATGGTGCTGTGGGGGTGATGCTCAGTGTTGGGGACTAAATTAAGACAGGAACTCCTCAGCCCCAGAGGACCTCTTTCTTGCTCTTGTGTCCTCGTTGAGGTGGGTGGTCCAGGGCTTCTTACTCCTTGGAGGCCAGGTAGGCCATGCTGGCTACCACCCTGCTAACAATATTCATTGTCATAAAAAGGAAATGAGCTTTACAAAGTTGTCATTGAAAGCAATGCCAGCGCAAGCATCAAATGTGGAAGAGTGGTCATCACTGTTAAAGTTGCAGGAGACAACCTGGTCCTCAGTGTAGCCCAGGATGCCCTTCAGTGGGCTTTCAAATGCCTGCTTCACCACCTTCTTGATGTCTTCACACTTGGCAGATTTCTCCTTGCAGCATGTCAGATCCATGGCAGACACATTGGGGGTAGGAACACAGAAGGCCATGCCTGTGAGCTTCCCATTCAGCTTAGGGATGACCTTGCCCACAGCCTTGGTAGCACCAGTGGATACAGGGATAATGATCTGGGAAGCCCCATGGCTGTAACATCACAGCTTCCCAGAGGGGTCATCCACAGTCTTCTGGGTGTCAATTATGGCATGAACTGCCATCATGAGTCCTTCTGCAATGCTGAAGTTGTCATGGATGATGTTGTCCAGGGGGCCTAAGCAGTTTGTGGTGCAGGAAGCATTGCTGACAATCTTGAGTGAGTTGTCATACTTATAGTTCACACCCATCTTACATATGGGGCATCAGCAGAAGGGGCAGATGATGACCCTTTTGGCCCCACCCTTCAAGTGGGCCCCAGCCTTCTCCATGGTGGTGAAGATGCCAGTACTCCACAACACACTCAGCACCAGCATCATCCCATTTAATGCTGGCAGCGTCTCACTCCTAGAAGGTAGTGATGGCCTTCTTGCTGATGACAAGCTTCCCATTCTCAGCCTTGACTGTGCCGTTGAACTTGCCGTGGATAAAGCATACTGGACCATGTAGACCATGTAGTTGAGGTCAGTGAAGGGGTCATTGATGGTAAAAAAAATCCATGTTGCCAGACATGAAGGAAGCCCTGGTAACCAGGTGCCCAATGTGACCAAATTTATTCACTCTGATCTTCACCATCATGCCTCAGGGACAAGGCTAGCCTGTAATCTATTTCTTAAATATAAAAATATCTTAAATTTTATTGCTGGCTAAATTATTCTTTGTGAGCTAATTCCATATATACTGAATTAGACATATATAAATAACATGAATTAACATAAATGTATGCTTAGTTTATACATGTACTTATGAACATTCACTTACATATTTCATTATCTTTTGGTAACATCATATATAAAATGAGTCTTTGCAGTCATAGCTGAGTGTGTGATATGAGTTTTTGGTTCAGTGAATCAACTAAAGTGGTGATCCAATTGTCTCAGTTGTGGCAGATACTAGGCTAGGTGTACTTGTAGTGTGACACAGAAAGCATCTTAAAGAATTCACTGTATTGGTTAGTTTTCCTCTGGACACATGGTGAATGTTAGTTTATACTTCATACTGTTTTTCTCTGTGAGTAGAAGATCAAGAAGTTCAAACCAATCAATTGGAGATAACCAGAGACCCTCAGAGGCCAGATTTGAAACGACAGTGGTGAACTCTCTACTCCTTTCTGCTCTGCCTGTGGGCTGGTTCTGTAGTCAACATCCTCCACAGCAAGTCAACGGGCTGAGATTTCAGAGAAAGACTTACTGTCAGTGCTGCGACCCTGGGGAAGTGCTTGGTTTTGGCTTCATTACTGCTATAGTTTAGATCTGAAATGCGCCAAAGGACCCATGTGTTAAGGGCTTGATCCCCAAACCGTGGTGCTAGTGGAAGATGGTGGAACTTCAAGATATGGGGCCTAGTTGGAGGAGATCATGTTATTGGAAGCATGCGGTTGAAGGTGATATTGGACACAGCCCTTTCCCATCCCTTTCCTTGTCTCCTGGATGCTGAGCGGTGGCTTCCATCTATGCCCCACTATGAAGTGTTGCTTTATCTAGGCCCTCAAACAGCAGACCAAATGATAACTGAAACTTTCAAAGCTGTGATACAAGATAAATCTTTCTCTTTATTATTTGATTTCTCCCAGATAAATGTTACAGTAGCCTAAGGCTAATACCTTTATCAAAGTAGCAGGAGACAAAACTCAAAGGTCTCTTCTGGCTGTTAAACTACATGGATGGGATGACTTTGACTGTCTGAAAGCCTGTAGCATAGCTGTGAGATCTTTGTTGTGCCCATGATAGTCACAGGGCCTGGTAACCAGAGATACCTATATCTATTTACCAACCTTTGTTTAAATTTCCCAGCAGAAAGGGCTGTTTGACAATGGTAACTAAGTGAATATCAAAGCCCTGCTGTATCAATGGCTGACCAGTGAGTCTGGACTCCCACAAAGAATGCCCCTGGTGGAAGCTGAGAGTCTACCTGAGGCCAGAGGACTTCCATGAGGCACCTATCTTCTCATCTTTGGATTTAAGACAGCCACCATAGGTGTAGAGTGGTCCCTGCCCTAAAGTAGTTGCATGTGAAGAATGTGTTAAACATATTAGAGAGAAAATTGATGAGATCAGCCTTTTCAAAAGATTTAGGCCTGCAATAGAGGGTGTGGTGGGGGCAAGGGTTCAGGTCAGATGTCTAGAGGTGGATGCGGGGGTTAGGAGATAGTTACGAGTGATTTATTAAGGAGAGGCCCTTAGGGGAAGCTTGCACAGCAGTGGAGGAAGAAAATAGGGAAGGTGAAAAAGCCAAGCAAAGGTGTAATTCCAGCTGCATGCAACAGGCTTGGTCTTGTAAGGAGCTGGAGGGCAGATATGATTGACGTTGCTGAACTTGTTGAAACAGAGGTGAGGGTATTGTGCTGTGTATTCATGCACATTCAGTCACTCGTTAGGGCTTGACCAGGGTCGTGGCAGTGTGGTAAGACATCAGCTAAGGGATCAATCCCTATGTCTCTATATATGTTTGCATGAGGTGTCTCTAGTTTAATCTTCTGAAGGAGGAGGGAGACTCACGGGTTAGGAGGAATGCATCCCAGAGAAGCGGGGGCACACAGAGCTCAGAGCTGTCAGCTCAGAGCTGTCAAGGGGACCCAAGTGAGTGGAGAGGATGTGCAGAGGCTTGGAGGATATGCACAATAAGGAAGGCAGAGTTTCAGAGGGCTCTCCTGAGAGGGACCAGGAAGTGTGAAGTTATGGTTTCACCTTTCACCAGTGAGTGGTTGCTCTGAGCTCTGACCCACGTGGTTGCTTCTCCTTGTTGGGAATAGGGAAGTCTTTGGACAGGACAGAAGGGAGGCAAGCAGATAGCAGAATTGTGTGGTATTTGTCTGTCTGATAGTCCCCTGCACCTTCCTCAGAGTGGTTGTTGGACCTAAAAACCATGAATGTGAACTTATAAAATCTCAACTATTGTAAGCTGTTATTAATAAATGATTTGCCCTGGTTATGTTACTAGAGTAGGATGAAGATCAGATATTATGACTGGAAGCTTAAGGATGTTTTCATTGAATTATGTGATCTCATTGTAGTTAGCACAGTTTTTTTGTAAATCAGGATAAGGAAAATAAACTCTGCAATGGCTATTTTGTGATGTAATTCTACAGCTACTCCACCCCCTTCAAAGACCAAGTTTCTCAAAAGCTTTAGATTTTATCCCTTATAATGTAATGGCTTTTCCAGAATATAAGCAAATGTATTTTTTTATTAACTTTGGCACTGTGGGTTTGAGATTGCTCCATGTAAAAAGTGACACCATTCCAGGGACAGATGATCAAGGCGGGAGATCTTTAGTTCATGGTTGGAGGCAAGGGTGGTGTTGTTAGTGACACTAGAATATTTGACATTGGAACCATATTTTTTGAGTCAAACATTACCTCATGTGGTCTGGTGTGTGACCATTATTTGGATATTTGAAATAGGAACTAACATAGGATATACATTATATATAATCCTCTTAAATTTATATTAACCAAACTTTTCTTAAATATAAAACCCAGTATAAGAAATGTATTTAGAAAACAGGATAGTCCAGTAATTAAGAGGATAGAGTGTAGCCAAATCCTCTCTCCATTTGCTAGTCTTAGGTACACTACATAAGCTTTTTGTGTGTCAGTTCTTCCAACTATAAAACTGGTGTGAAAGTAGTTCTACCTCATGGAATGCCCATGCAGATAGAATGTGCTAATGCATGTGAAAGTACTTTGCAGTCCCTGGCAAATAGTGAGGATTATATGTGTGTTAGCTAATGATATCTTTACATTAGATCCTATATGCATACACTTACACAAGTAAAACAGAGCTTATCATGAGTAGTACACACAGATACATTCTATTTTATTCTTCGATTCTCTTAAACATACTTAGCCAATTGTTAGTGTTCTTAAGATTTTATTTTTATTTTATATTTTTGGTTGTGAGCCTAGCCTGAGCCATCTCTGTGGTGGCACATACCTTTAATCCCAGCACTCAGGAGGCAGAGGCAGGTGGATCTCTGTGAGTTTGAGGCCAGATTGGTCTACAGGAGCTAGTTCCAGGACAGCCTCCAAAGCCACAGAGAAACCCTGTCTTGAAAAACCAAAAAAAAAGTATTTTTATTTTATGTGTGTGGGTGTTTTGCCTGCATATATGTCTGTGTACCATATGTATGCCTAGTGTCTTTCAAAGACCAGATGTGAGCCACTGTGTGGGTGCTGAGGATTGAACCTGGGTCTTCTGAAAGAGCGACCATGGAGCCATCTCTCCAGTTCTATTTTTCACTGGATTTTGAATTACACTGTCAAAACAGCATTTCACTGAATATAGTGGCTCTTGTTTGTAATCCCAGTATTTAGGATTACAAAGTGCTGGAGGCTGAGGCCAGAGGATTTGTTTGAGTTTAAGGCCAATCTGGGGTATAAGGAGAAACCCTGTTTCAAAAGCAAAGCAAAGCAAAGCAAAACAAACAAACAAAAAACCCAAAGCAAACCTAAACACCAGTACCCTCAGCAACCATCTGAACAGCAATGGTGGCACAGGAGACTTTATTCAAATGTTTGTAATTCACCTGTTCCCCTAACTCGGTAAATAGGACATCCAGAATCAAAGGAAGAATATGCTAATGCTTAAGGGCTTGGCTCAACCGTTACATTTTTGATAGCTGCAAAAATGATGGGACTTGATTCCTGGAACTTTGGGTTGGGAATTCTGGAGGTCTGGAGAGAGGAAGAAAGCAGGGCCTTCTGAGATTCTGGGTCTGTCTGTCCAACTCTTGCTCCCAGAGTGGGTAGTGATGCACCACTCCACAGCCCCTTTCTCTTCTGCCTTTTCCTGAGGAAGTGAGCTCTTTAGGTCTCAATGATTGGAAATGTCAGATAAATAAAGAACATACTCCCCTTCTCCAGGCCCCAGATAAGTTGTCGGAGTGTAAGTAAAGTGCTTGCATGCTTGTGAGGATTGCATGATTTGTTTCCAACTGGGGAAGAGGTTATTCTTTCATTGTGAAATGTCTCTGCTCTCTCCCATAGTGATTTTAAGTGTCTCTAGAGGTCCTACAACCTAATTCATAATCAGCGCAGATCCAGAATAAAATTACATGTATCTTTAAAAATGGCTTCCCTTCATATAATTGCTCTGATGCAACTGCTGTAAACTTTTGACTTGAGATATTAAATGGGTGAAAGGGAATCCACATCACTCTCACTCAAATGTGTTAGACTGATTAGAGATGAATTTTGAATGAGGATACTTGTCAGTCAAATCATAATTAACACAGTGCTTAGACTGATCTGGTCTTGTTTTCATTTTATGTTTTCTGCACAGAATTTCCCAGAAGGTTATGACTGTACGTGGTAAGAATGGAAAATGGAGACATGAAGATGAGGTCATGTCCAAGTGGGTAATAGGCAGTCACCATTGGCAGTCCAGCAATATCTGCTTCCTATGCAAATGATGGCCCAAGGGCTGACAGAGAGCCATTAAAGTCTTTGTAAAATCCTGACTCAATGCCATCTGCTCTCAAGTACGCTGTATAAACGGGCAATGCTGTAACATCTGGGATAAAGTTTTCTTCAGTGCATTCTCATCTGAGGTGGTTCAGTCTGATTAAAAATTGGTTTATAATTGTTTATTTCTTGAAACTTATTCCTTTTATACCCTATTAAATTTTCTTTTGCTAACCTGTTTATTTTTGTATGTAGTTTGGAATGATGTTAGTTTGAACTGAGGTAATGGTTGCTATGCAGTTTTTCTCCTTTTTGACCCTAGAAGCTCTTTCTTTCTTTCTTTCTTTCTTTCTTTCTTTCTTTCTTTCTTTCTTTCTTTCTTTTTTTCTTTCTCTTTCTTTATTTCTTTCTTTCATTCTTGACTACTTATTCATCAAATATTTATGAGTACTTGCTCATTCTTGAGAATTGTGATAGGGCCCAGTAAACCTGGTGAACAGAACTCAAGGACATCTGGCCCCCATGTGGATAATCTAAGTGGGAATAGTGGACAGCAATGAACAAATATAAGTATTTTTGATATTGATAAAACTGTGGAAGAAATAAGTCTATCGGTTAGAGAGTTTTGGTTGTATAGGAGGTCATGAGTAGGTAATAGAAGTCCCATTTTAAATGAGCTGGTTAGGAAGGCAATAGGTAAGGTCACTAAATGTCACTTAGTTAAAAGCCAATTCCCAGAGAGTGAATTCATTTTATGGTTCAATTCATTGAAAGACTAATTCACCAAACCTAATTCATGTCATCTGTATTACTTAGTTTTGGTTTTCATTTTGATTTATTAGTATTTTGAGGGGTTCTCGACAGACTTTTCCTAGTCAGGTTTAATAGCCTGGGGGACAGGAATCAAGGAAAACTGAGAGGTAGAGACAGGGTCCCAAGGACTGAGGTGAAAATATATTTACAAAGTAAATACTCAAACAGGGAGATATGTTATAAACATATACGTATGTATATACACATATATATTTGTTATTATCATTCATAAGGGAAATACGTTCATATGAACTCTTCACATTTAGGGATATATGCAAGAAGACACCATTTATAAAGAATGTATTCATAAAATGATATATTCATGAGGAGAATATATTCATGAGAACACATTTAGTTTTTCTGTGCCCTGCTCCCCACTGTTATTGCTGGAGGATTAGGGATAGAATTAGAGGCAGAGGAGGGAGAAATTGAGGCAACAACAGAGAGAAAAACAGAGAGGTTTAAATTTCTTTTCTAAAAATTTTATTTTTATTTACTTATTTGTGTTTTATTGTTTATGAGTTTCATATGTACATATAATGCATTTGGATCAAACTCATTCCCTATTCCCTCCCTTGTAATTCACACTGCCACTATTCCATCCCAATTTCATGTGTTCCTTTTTTATGAACCCACTGAGTTCTACTCAGTGGGTGTAGGGCTGTCTACTGGGGCATGAGTAGCACTTCAGGGGCTACCTCTCTGGAGAAAACTGACACCTCCTTTTCCAACCAGTCATCAACTTGCCTATAGCAGCTCAGCTAGTGATAGAACTTTGTGACCTTCTTCCTAACCACGTTGGCATTTTGTATGGCTTGATCTTGCACAGGTCTTGTACATTCAGTCACAGCTACTTTGAGCTTGTGTGTGTGACTTTTCTGTCATGTCCAGGAAGCATCTTCTCATTGTAATCATCTACTGTCTCAGATCTTATAATCCTGATACCCTAATCATGGGAGAGAACGACCTGATATAGATGATGCATTTAAGGATGAACACTCTGCAGTGTGTTATTGTCTGCACACTGGCCAGTTGTGCGTCTCTGTCTTAGTTGCCATCTACTACAAAGAGAAGCTTGTCTTAGGAGGACTGAGAGATGCACTGATCTCTGTGTATAAAGAGAAATACTTTAGGAGGTGATTTAGTATTATATTCATAAACAGAATATAGGGAAAATGACCTACAGCCATGGGATCTTAGCCCTGTTAATGGTGCCAGGCATGAATTCCATTTGTTGGAGAGGGCCTAAAATCCAGTCATAAAGTTGTCGGTTACTGTCTTTGTTATTTTCTATTGCTGTGGAGAAACACCATGACAAAGGCGACTTACAAAAGAAAGCATTTAATTTGAGGCTCATGGTTCTAGAGGGTTAGAGTCCATGCCATCATGGTGAGGAACATGGTAGCAAGAAGGTGTAGAGCTAGAACAGTAGCTAGGAGCTTGTATCTGATCCACAAGGTGAGACAGACAGACAGACAGACAGACAGACAGACAGACAGATAGAGTAAGCAAACTAACTGGAAATGGTGTAGGCTTTTGAAACCTCAACATCCCTCCCATGTCATACCTCCTTGAACGAGGCCATAGTTCCTAATCTTTCCCAGACAGTTCCACCATAGTTACTCTCCTATTTTTTTTATTAAATACTGTTTTCATGTCTTGATTTTTCTTTGTTTAATTCAACTATTTATGTTTTTGTGATCTTCCTTCAAGCATCTTTCATTTCTTCTTTGTGTTCCTTTATAATTGCTATTTGAATTCATTGTCTTATCTACCATTTAAGATGGTTTTCTTAGGGAGCATTACTAAAACAGTACTAATTTCTGGATGGGACATATTGCCCTGGTTATATATGCTTGCGTGTATATGATGGGATCTGCATATCTGGAAGTAGGTCAATGGTGGTGTCTCATTATTTATTGGGTATTTAGATGTCTGTCTACTTTCACACCCATTTTGGACCAGCTGGATGGTATTTGGGTTTGGTCTTAGGGTCACTCGGTGGGTATTGATGTGTGAGTGTGTTATAGAAGTGGTCCTAGTTCAGCTCAGCCTGGGTGCAACTACTGACACAATAGCAAACTTTCTGTTGAGTTATGTTCCTGTTCTATATTCTTAGAAGTCTGTGGGCAGATCATGGGGTTCTATGGATGGTCTTTGGGTAGCAGTGATTGGGTATTATACAGGTAGTAGGCGGTGTTACTTGGAGAAGGTTTGCAGGGTGGCAGGGATGGGGTCATGGCAGGGTTGGGAGTTGAGTGAGGCTTAAGCATCTGTTAGAGAGCAGGGAGACTTTTTAAAAACATTGATTTATTTTTATTTCATGTGCATTGGTGTTTTTCATGCATGTATGTCTGTGTGAGGGTGTCAGATCCCCTGCCCATGTGGGTGCTAGGAATTGAACTGGGATCCTCTGTAAGAGAAGCCAGAACTCTAAACTGCTGAACCACTTCTCTAGTTCCTACCTTTTTGTTGTTTCTTTTTGTGTGTATTACATGTGTGAGTGGGTGGTGTGTGTATGTGTGGAGACCAAAGGGAAACTTTGGATGTTATTATACATCTTGGTTTTTGAGACAGGAGCTCCTAGTGGCTTAGAGATGGCAACATGGGCTAGACTGTCTGTTCAGCGAGTTCCAGGGGTCTGTCTGTTTCTGCCTCCCAACACTGGTGTCACCACCACTTCTAGCTTTTCTGGTGTGAGTTCTTCAGGTTGAACTTAGGTCCTTGTGCTAACATGGCAAGCACTTCAGTGACTGCACTAACTCCCTAGCCACTGTTCAAATATTTTTAAAAGTGGTGCTATGAACGTAAAATAAAAAACTGACTACAGTAGAAAGTTAAAGGGAATAATGACATTATGTAAAGTGGTCATCTGGGGAATGGGTCATTAAATAAATTGACTATTTGGGCAGTTTTTCATCTGGGGAATTACAGACTGACTAATCTGTCATTTACATTGGGGCGATTCGGAGAGTGAATGGGGTATGATTAATAACTATGCTGGAGCATAGGAATAAACCAGAACTGTCTGACATGTCAGGTCAGCTGGCCCCTCCTGGGGGAGACTGGGTATGCAAACCTCAAGGAACAGCCTGAGTGTACACCGACTCTTGCAATGTGGCTCCTAAGTTGAGCTTGAAATAGAATGTGAATATTATCATCTATCTGAAAGCACAAGCTCTAGGGTTATAGGCTATGGTCTAGGGAAGCTGTGACTTCTTAGATAGTGTTTGTGGCAAGTATTAACTTTCTATGGGAGATTTTCACTTCTAGATCTCAAGATGAAGCTCCAAGTTCAAATTTCCTAGTACAGGTAATGTGTGGTACAGTGACTTCAAACCCAACACACCCCAAGTTGAACTGCCAGGAGGCTATGCAGGGAGGAGAAACTCAGGGATGGTATTCCCATTGATTTATATGTTAACAACCTGAGAAAACTTTCTTCTTCTTCTTTCTCACTTAAAATCCACCCACACTTTAAATCCCAACATAGATCTCATCTTTCTAAAGTATCATCTTCAAGATAACCATGTTTCTCCTTTATCTAAATCCAGTTTCTTAATAGTGACAACTCAGATTAACCATCCGTAAGACCTGTGATCAATTCCATCCAGTGTGAAATTGTATAATTTTCTAGATGTTTAAAACACACGCATGCATGTGAGCTCGCGTGTATGCACATACACACACATGCACACACTAAATACATTGCTAAGCATGTAACAAGGACTCATTTGTCCATTCAGTCATTGGGTAGGTGTGAATTGAAGGCTAATGATGCACTTGGCACTGTATTAAGTTCTGAAATACAGAAATGAATGAAACGGAGGCCTTGGTGTCCAGACACAGCATTATAGGAGAAGTTTGTCTATGAACAAACAAATAAATGTATAATATTATAAATATTGGTAAATGCCATGGCAACCAATTAGTTCAGATTACTTTACCTCATCTTGAGCTAATTGTCAGTATTGTCTTTGTCTACCGTCTACAGTACTTGTATTTAAACTAAGTTTTTCATACGACATCAGAGAGCCTTAAGATATGCAGTTTAACTTATGCAGGTAGTAAGATCTCTGTTGGACAGGGGGCAGAGCCTTTTGGATAGCCAGGGAAGTGTGCCCCCAGCAGTATGTATGAAGTTCTTAAGGTAAGGGTCTGTCATTAAGTGACAATATCTGCCTGTGGAAGTCCATAAAGGAGTCTAGTGTTGTTGGAGCACAATGGCTGGTGGAATGACAGCAGACAAGGGGCACGTTGATTGTGGGAGGCAGTGATTGGATGACAACAGGCAAGGTAGAAGAAGGACCTATGGGTTAGATCACAGAAGCATTTATTTAGAAAGGCTTTGAACGCCAGACGGATGTATT